CTACTCTTCAAAACCTGCCTCTCAGCCACAACCTCCTTCACATACGCCTCCGCCTGGGAAAACAGATAAAAAATCCCCACAATCCTCCCCTCCACCAGCTCGCTCAGCTCATCCCCCCGCTCCTCGTCCAGCACCTTGTGCAGTATCGCCGCCAGCGGATCCAAAATCTTGCTCCTGCTGAAAATCCGGCAGAAATCATTCTTCGGCGTCGGCCCCTGCAGCTCAAACACATTCCATATCCCATTCACCCCAATCAGCACCAGATCCTGACTCGTCTCATAGTCCTCGTCCAGAAACTCCACCAAGACATTCAACCCGCCCGCGCTGACAAACATTTGCAATGTCAGGGTAGAAGTCTGATACATCTGCCTCACAAACGCCGCAGCCTCGAGCCGAATCTCATTCGAGTACTGCCTGGCGGCAAACTTGGTGACGATCGGTATCCCACCGACGAAGCACAAGTTCTCTTGCAACTCCACATCATCAAGGATAATCTACCCCTTTGTTAGTCCCCTTCCCACGACACCCAATTCACAAAACTCACCGCATTAACAATCCTCAACAACCCCAACACCATGCCCCCCCGACTCTTAACCCCACACCCCTCCAAAATCTCCAATATCGGCAGCAGCCCATGCGCCCCCATGATCAGCCCCTTCACCTCCTCCCCCCCCTCCCACAAATACGCCAGCAAATCCTCGGCCAGCTCCCCCAACACCTCCTCATCCTCCACCTGCCTCATCTTGGACAAACTCTTCACCAAACTCTCCACCTTCTCCGCCATCCTAGCATGTCGATCTCTCGCAATATTCGCCGCCAAATCCATCTCGTCCATCCACCCCGGCTCCTCCATCATGGCAAACGGATCGTCCTCGTCCCCGTCGTCGTCCCCAAGCCAGCTGCTATTCGACAGCTTACTCAGCACCAGCTGCTGCTGCTGCTGCTGACCATCTTCACTCCCCCTATCACTTTCTTCAGCCGTCGCCTCGTTCTTCAAGAAAGACGTCGCGTTGTCAGTCCCCGGGACAACGCCAAATATATCCGAGAAATCCTCGTCCTGCTCGTCCTCGGCAAACTTTGTAATCTCCACTTGCGATCTCGTCCTTCGAACAGGCGGTTCAGGCGGCTGTAACGACGACCCCGTCGTTGCTGGCGGTCTCGAGGAGTTAGGTCTCCTTATGCTAGCCCCCAAGGGAGATTGCTGGTGTTGAGTGGCCGATCTCGGTGGAGGACTGGTGAGATCCGAGGGGTGGAACAGCTGTGGAGCTTCCTATGAAAATCATCGATAGTTAGTCTCTATTTATTGATCTCATCTCCTCAATGTCCACAATAAACATGGTCATTCTCCTCAGCACAATAGAAAAAACATACCTTGACAACCCCCAATCTCCTGTCAAAAACCCCCTCGTTATCCGCAAACAAATCCGAATAATCATTGTCCCCCGACTGCTCCCGATACAGCAAATCTGGCCTCGGCGGTAGCTCAAACTTGCCGTTGTTCCCCAACAACTGCTGCTTCGTCGGTGACTTTGACACCCTGCTATCCCTGCTCCTCTGCCTCCTATGCTTCTCACTCAACCGGTCACTGCTCTTCTTCGGCAGCGGCCGTATCGTCTGCTCCTGCGCATCAAAGCTCTCAGACCAGTGCTTTGGCCCTTTGATCGTCAGCAGCTCCCCCTCAAAGTTATCATCCCAGTTTTCCGAGTCCTGGTGGCTGTCAATAGAAGCAAACGCCTTGAGCCGGTCGCTGGACAACAACCCCCCAAAGTTATCCTGCCCCTTGATATGCGGGAGGTGAAGAGCCGTGGGCGAGATAGCAGACGCAAAGTCGTTGTCCCAGTTGTCGTCGTCGGGTACCTCTGGTGATCTGAACGCATCAGGAGTAGGTCTCTGCTTCGTCACCAGCGTCAACGGGCCCCTGATATTCGTAGCCAGGTTCGGCCGCTGGCTGATCGGGCCGTTGCTCTGATCAGACCCAATCGAGACTCTCATGTTGTGCTCCGAAGACCTGAGAGCCTTATTCCACTGCTTAACCTCCTCAACCGCCTGGTTGAAGTTGGCAGGTGGTCTCGACACCGGAGCGTCCGTCCTCCTGCACCCAATAATCCACGGGTGCTTCATCAGCTTCTTCGCCGTAACCCTCAAATTCGGATCTTTCTGAAAACAAGCCATAAGAAAGTCCCTCGCAACCTATCCCACCCAAATCATTAGCCCTTCCCCGAAACCTGTCCTACCCCAAAGAAAAACTCACCGGAGACACCCCCTCAGGCAAAGGAGGGTGATCATCATTAACAATGGCAAACAGCGCCGGCATAGCCGCCAAGTTATGATACGGCGGCTTCCCCTGCAGCAGCTCAATAACCGTACACCCGACGCTCCAGATATCGCTCGCCGACGTCGCACCCGACAGCTGAATAATCTCTGGCGCCATCCAGTACGGGGTCCCCACCACCTGAGCCTCCTTGTCGTTCCCCGTCATGAACTGGCTCGTCCAAACGCCAAAGTCCGCCAGCTTGACCGTCCCATCCTTGGTCGTCAGTATATTCCCCCCCTTGATGTCCCTGTGAATCACACCCTGGTCGTGCAGATACTGCAAGCCCTGTAGGACCTGAGCCATGTACACTCCCACCAAGTTCTCGGGAAACTTTCCGTACGCCTTCGAAATCGAATGCAGTGATCCATTTTCGCAGTACCTAAAATACGAGTCAGTCGTCTCCCCATTCCCTCCGTAACAAACCAAAAACTCACTCAAGGATGATATTCAAGCACTCGGCCGTCTTGACAAACCCGACATACTTGACGATATTCGGATGCTGTACCACCCTTGTCAGCCTTTTCCCCCTTTCCCCTAACCCCTACCCATGCATCACAACTCACATTGAGATTCTTCAACAAATCGATTTCAACCTGCAGATCAACAACCCATTAGCAAAGCCCCGGCATTCCCCCAGTCTTGTCCCACCATCACCCCTCTCGGTCCGGTATCTTCTCAGCCAAACCTACCTCAACCATACGCAGCTCACTCTTCGGCACATCCACCAGCTTGATCTGCTTAACAGCCACCGCCTCCCCGGTCCCCCAATTAAAGGCCTTGTAGACAGATCCGAAAGCTCCCTTTCCGATGCAGTCTCCTAGTCGCTACATAGAATTTTGGTCAGCTTATGTCTCATAACCCAGTAAAAACAGTCCGGGGCGGGGTGTGTGTATGCAAAAGTGTGATGTATCAGCCCCAAAACAAAGAAGAAGAAAAACCCAATCCCAATCCCGCCAAGCCACACACATGCGTATCCTGCACGGGGTATGTATGGCGGACGGTATACTGCACACCCCCTCCATACATTCCCCTCCCCTCCCCCACAACACGAAAAAGAAAAGAGGCAGCATGGCTTTCGGGTATCGGGAAATCCCAGTCCATAAAGTGATCGATCCAATCTGATAGGAAGGGTAGACCTAAAGAAAAAAAAGAAAAACAAACGTCCTCCGGAAGGGGGGGTCAGTGAGACAAAAAAGAAAAAAAAGAAAACCTACATAATCCTTCAACCCCGGATCCTGCACCGGCTTCTCCAACCGATAACTCTGCTCCCTCCTCGGCGTCCCCGGTGTCTTGCTGCTGCCCACCACCGCCTGCTGTTGTTGCTGTTGCTGTAGCTTTCCCCCATTCCCACCGCCTTGATGATATGCCGCCGCCGCCCGGTCCGAACCAGAGGGTCCTATCGGCGGCGGTGGTGGTGGTGGTGGTGCCATGTCTGGCTGGTGCTGTCACTTTCCCAAACCCTCCTTGTGCCCTTTTCCTCAATTGTAGTAGTTGTCGTCGTGTGGTATTCCTCCTCCAGCAGCAGCAGCAGGAACCGGCGGTAAGAGGTAAGAGAAGGGTGTCGGTACCCTGATGGTCATATCCCCGCGCCCTCAATCCTCCGCGGGGTATCGATACTGGGCGATGGGACCGAAACAAATGGATTTTGTTGGAGGGGTAGATACGTCCTCGCAATTCGCCCGTATTTCTCTCGAATCTGGCGGGGAAAAGACGCAGTAAACAGAACTATCCTTGAGATTGTTGGAGCCTCGGTTTTGCGGGTTGGGGCTCCGAGCAAGCAAGCAGTAGGTGAACAATCGCTCCCAATATTCACCGTCATCAGCAGCGGGGCTACCTAAATCAATTCGTTCCTTCGTTCGCTCGTTCGTCGTGAATTCCCCGTCGTCGTCGTCGTCGTCGTCGTTCGTTCGTTCGTTCGTTGTAGTGAATCAAAGAGAAATTATCCCACCACCTTCCCTGCCCGCTCAGGTAGTTTGGTGTCGGATATCGGACGACGCAGACGCAACAAGCGTTCCCTGTCAGGCTCCAAGGCCAGTACAACAAAAGAAGAAGAAGAAGAAGAAAGAAAAAAGATTCATGCAATCCCCTCCCCTCAGGTAATAAAAAAAAGCCCCAAGTTTCAAGAATGCACCCCAGACAATACTGAAAACCCAGATCGCAAAATCGCGGGGTACTTAAACTAGGTATCACCTCTCTCTCTCTCTCTCTCTCTCTCTCCAGAGTTTCAACCAAAGAAACAGGAAATCGGAGGTCGAGATCCAGGCCAGGCAGGGCTGGGCTGCAGCCAGCGCGCCCCATGCCCCCCCCCCCCCAGTGGACCGTGCCTGCAGCAGGGCCAACATTGGCGTGTCACCCACTTTTGTTTAGCGCTCGAGTAAAGTGATAGGTAATGCCGCTACTTTCCATCCTCACCTCAGGGGCAGGGGTTATGAACTGTAAGGATGACACCTACCTGGGAGAAATGTTAATGTATGTATGTTATAACCAAAAGATTGTGAATAATAGGTTGATACTGGTATGCTATCTAACCAAGGAATACGTGCCGCCTCTTCTCTTCTTGTTGCTCAGAGTCTCAACAATCCAAGTCTGTGAACATGTTCCCCCCTATCCCATCACAGCTCTCAGACTCCCCCCTTCCTTCCCACCGTGCCATCCATCCAGAGGAATTCATCATGAGCCGTGTGTGAGAAAGAGTGCACCACACACACATAAAAGGCGGGGACAACCTCATGCACGACACCGTGAAACAAAACAAAACAAGGAATCACGATGGTGAACCCTGGAACAATAATCCATTACATCTGCTGCTGCCTCCTCCAACTCTCAAGGGCCAGTTGCCCAAAACTACCTCTATGTACAGAGAATATCATACAAGTCATCAATCCACCGTTAACCCTATGTGACTGAGAAACCAACCACCGCTGTGATCCTTTCAAAACAATAAAACTAATACAAAGCTGTCGGTGCATCATTATAAGCCATATATTTCCTTCAAAGCCAAGAGTAAACAGCAATACCCACGAGCAAATGGGATGCACTTTTTTCCATGACAAGCTGCCAGACCGATACCAAAGGGTAATCCCTAAAACCAAAGCCCAGTAACGCCGTAAAATCAAATGTGCCAATGACATTCAGAAACGCTTTTGCCGAGAATGAAAAAAAAAATGAAAAAAAAAAAAAATTGAAAAAATTGAAAAAACCAATAGACCGCTTCGAGAAATACACCCGGTGGCTCAGTTGGCCGAGGCCTCGCGGGACAAAGTCCTGCTCAGTCCCACCTCTGCCCACCAGTCGTCTGGAATATCCTCACGTTGAGCAAGGCTGCGGACGAGCCGCTGCATCACCTCAACTCCACCAAAGACCGAGGGGTCGTCGCTGCTGCTGCCGCTACGCCCGGCAACGTCTGCCCATGACCGTCCGGTGCTACGAGCGCGGGGAAGAATAAAATTTCTAATATCATCCTCGAGCTCGTCCTCGTCTGTGTCAGAATTGTCGCATCCCGACGCGAGCTCCACCTCGACGGTCTGGGGGTTGGTGAAAGAGGTCCTGGAAGAGGCAGCAACGGTGCTCTGTGTCGCAGCCGCCGATGCTGTAGCAGAAGCAAAGGAAGAGCCAACGCTCGGGGGCTGCGGATCCGGAGCAATCGTGGTCAACAGCGTCTCCCATGCATTGTCGCCATCGGGACTAAGACTTCTGCTACGGTCACCGAGGCCATCAATGCCCGCCGCACCATGGCCAACAGCCGGGGGAACAAGAAGGGTTGACCCGCTGCGCTGAGCGCGTTCCTGCCGACGGGACTCAACCCATCGACGGCCGGCTGTGTAAGGATTTGAGGTTTCATCCCCAAAAATGTACGATTCGCCCCGTGTGTTCGAAGCTGGTCTGCTGAAGGGAGGAGCAGCTCCCGCCGGGGATGTAGTGGAGCTCCGCGACTATGAGAAAGTCAGCAACGATGAACAGGTTTTTATGGCAACCACGACAGCACATACCGGATGATTGGGAGCCTGGGTACTCCGGAGGCTCGACACCATGGGAAGCGGTTCCATACGAGACATGTAACGATCGCGGCGTTGAAAGTTGCTGTAGGCATCCTGTGCAGCTAACTGCGAATCGGTTGGCCGAGGTAAGATGGGGGAATTGTCGTCATCGGTTTGTGTTTGACTCGGATTCGAGCCGGCGTGCAAGTGAGCCCAGCGCTCACCAAACATGGTGATGACTCGGTCATCGAGCCCTACGTAGGCGCGACGACGGCCATATCTGGAAGCAGCATCGGTGGGTGGCTCTAGAGCGGGTGACCGGCGCCGTGGTTGCTCAGGATCCCAATGGGTGTCATTGACAAGGCGGCGACGGTTGGGGTTGGCCCCTGCAACTGGAACTGCTGCTATATGCGCAACAGCAGGAACGGGAGGCGGCTCCAGGGTGGGTGATCGGCGGGGTTCCCAGATGGCATCCTCGAGAACGCGGCGGCGGCGCTCGCGGACCTGTTCCCGTGCGTGGTCGCGCGTGCTGTGGTATCCCCGGACAAGACGGTGCCGGCGAATGGTCGAGCGCGCTTCTGCCGAACTTTTTTCAGCGGCAGGCTTGGATTGGATGTCCGACTCGACCGGCGCTTGGTACAACCTGATTGGTGAAGATGCAGGATTAGCTCATTGCTTTGCAAAGCAAAGAAAAAGAATTGCGCCCGCGATACGGGAGTGTCTTGAAGAGGGTGCTGGTGGGCTTGCGCGATGGCAAACCCCGGAAGTGGGATGGATATGCCGTTGTCCCAGGTACGGACAGGGAGGGCTGGCTTCAGGGGCAAACCTACCGGAGACCCATTCTCTTCTGATTCTCTGAGCTTTGATGGCGTCGCGTAAGGCGCTCCGGTCAAAATCGAGGCGAAAAAGGTAAGGACGGCAACGGTTGGCTAATTTTCAAAGTGGCCGTGATGATGCGCCTCGTCAATCGATGGGAACGCGATGTCGGGGGATAATGCGCCAATGTGTCGATGTCGATGTCGATGTTGGGCGTCGCGGGTAATCGGGCGGAACAACAAGAGGGAGGGAGTTTTACGACCGGCTCGGGGGGGCTGCGTCAAAGTCTAAAGTTGGGCGGGTCATTCCTTTTTGTGGGTGGGGCTGTTTCTTCTGCTGGTGCACGGGAATGGGGCCCTTGGCGCAGAGCCTGGGCTTAGCCCCCTCTTTAAAGGATAACACTCAGCCAACCCCAGCCACAGTTGTTGTTTACTGCACAGATGAAATGCTTCTATCAGTTAGTTCCATGCAAATAACCATACCTTAAGGTCCCTTGCGCCGATCCCGCATCCCGCCCCCCAAGCAAAAAGCTAAAATCGACAGGCTCCAGCAGTTCCCCATCGCCAATGACCGTTCTTGGCAGACCTCAAAAGCATCCGCGGGCCAATAAACACCATGAGTCACTCCTGACATCATTCCCTTGTATCACAATATCGATCCGAGCATACCAACGACGACAACACCATGATTGATCTAGGGTTGGCCCGCATTGGCCATCTCATCAAGCACACACCCCAGACGTGGAAGGCCATCCATGTGGCCGGCACCAACGGCAAAGGCTCCATATGCGCCTACATCTCGGCCATGCTCAACGCCAAAGGCATATCATACGCCAGGTTCACCTCCCCTCACTTGGTCGACCGGTGGGACTGCATTGCCATCAATGGCAAGCCCGTGTCGGAATCCTTGTTTCTTGAAGTTGAGAAGCAGGTGAAGCAGAGGGATGTGAGCGAGAACATTGGCGCAAGCGAGTTTGAGCTCCTGACCGCGACTGCCTTTGAGATCTTCAACCGCCAAAAAGTCGAATACGGAGTTGTCGAAGTTGGTCTTGGTGGCAGGCTAGATGCGACGAATACACTCAAACAGAAATCGGTTACCGTTATTTCCAAGATTGGTCTTGATCACCAGTCTTTCCTGGGAAACACCATTGAGGAGATTGCACTTCAGAAAGCAGGAATTATCCGCCAGGGCGTACCCTGTGTGGTGGATGGCAGCAACCAGCAGTCAGTTCTGCAGGTAATAGAACAGCATGCTAAGGAAACAGGGGCATCATTGCAGTTTCCCAACGCGACAGCTGTTGCGGAAGAGCTTGCGAAGTCAGGAGAGACCTTTGAGCCACACCAAATCCAGAACCTGGCAGCTGCTCATCTGGCCTTCCGTCTGGCTTGCCCAGAGCATGATGCCCCGTTAACAAGTCTTCTGCCCGCTATCAAGCAGCTCAAATGGCCTGGTCGCCTCCAAAAGATGAGTCTCGAAAACATCACCGGCCGTCAGCAAGACGTGCTCTTAGACGGCGCTCACAACACCCAGTCAGCTGAGGCACTGTCTGGCTACGTCCAAAGACACCTTCGTTCTTCAGGAAATCCAATAACCTGGGCGCTGGCCGCCACGCAAGGCAAGGATATGAACGGGATTCTCAGTCTGTTACTCCAACCTGGTGATCAAGTCGTTGCTGTCAGGTTCGAACCTGTGGACGGAATGCCCTGGGTCAAAGCAGCCGATCCCAAGGAGCTCCTCGACTTGGCCACTCAACATGGTGTCGACCAGTCATCGGTCTACAGCGCCGGAGAGAACGTAAAAGACGCCTTAACCAAAGCATCCGAGATGGCAGGCGAAAGGCCAGTAGTAATAGCCGGGAGCCTCTACCTCGTGTCCAGTGTCTTGAGGCTCTTGCGTGAGAAGTCTCAAGATTCTAGTGAAAATGCCATCTGGTCTTGAGCGAGATCACATGATTTTAACGCTTGAATACACCCATTCAAAAAGGCGGTCAACTGCTCGTGTTCAAACTGGTTGATAAAACATCCCACCACCGTCACTGTCATGACAACCCCCAATCACCTCGTCATAGTCTGCGGCCACGGCATCTACCTCGGCGGTCCGCAAAACGGCCATGACGAATCAGAATGGCTCATTGAACCATACAAAAAGGGGGAAACGCCCACTTTCATGGCGCATATCAAAGCCGGGGCGGATGTTGTGAATTCTGATCCGAGATCAGTGTTGGTGTTTTCTGGGTACTTGCCGATCTTACCACATGCTCCCAAGCACTTGTTTTGCTAACAAACCGCCCTCAGAGCCGCAACCCGCCCAGAAACGCACCTCTCCGAGGCAAAATCCTACTGCAACCTCGCCCTCGACAACAACTACTTCCCCCCGACCCTCGTGGGATCCCGTGTGCTGCTGGAGGAACGAGCCCTCGATTCCTATTTCAACATCTTGTTCTCTTTGATCCTCTACTGGCGGCAGCACCCGTCAAATCACTGGCCGGAACGCATCACCGTCGTCTCCCACGAGTTCAAGCGCACTCGTCTTGTCGACGGCCACTGCGCAGCTGTTGGATTCCCTCTAGACCGGGTAACCTTCCTCGGCATCAACCCCCCCAGCCTCAAAGCCGAAGACCAAGCCAGCAACCAGCTCACCCTCGGTCAATGGGAACAAGACCCCCACGGTGCCAGCCTTGACCTCCTCGCCAAAAGGCAAAAGAGAAACATCTGGGGTGTCAGCCAAGCCCTGTTCCTTGATAAAAACGAAGCCACAAAGGCAGGACTGGAAGGACAAATCAGGACTTCAAAAGACGGCTCTCAAACATTGCTCGACTACAAAGGCTGCATCCGTCCCTGGGCTACGTGAATACAAAAAAAATTCAAATATTTGGGCTAGGCACAAAACCTTCCCTGCCACTCCTCTGCTCCTCCCTCGTCTCGGGGTTGTACCTGTCCTCTCCCGCTCCCATCACCGCCCCGACAATAAACTGCACCGCATCCTTGACCATCTCGCTGCTGAACTCGTGGCCCACCCCAGGGTAAATCCTATCATCAACCCAGAATCGCTGTTCCTTATCGAACGATGGGGACGGAGGGTTCACTGCCGCGGATTTGAGCCAGTTCATGAAGGGTTCTGAACACCTGGGTGGTACCAGCTTGTCCACTCCGCCCGAGCAGACAAGTAGCTTCTTTCCTTGGAGGCGTTCATAAAGGATGGTTTGCCGGATGAGCTCCTGCCTCGTCTGCTGCGGCTGGTCGGGGACAGGATGCGGGCCGAAGAGGATAGCTTTGGGGTCGTACTGATTGCAAGCCTTGATCAAGCTCGGAGGGAAATCCCTACTCCCCAGAAAACTCGCCCCGTCATCCTGAGCAGAGTACGTACTCAGCTTTGACAACCTCGCCCGATCGCTCATCAAGTCTGCACACACATCCCTTGTCAGCATACCTCTCAGAATCGCAGATTGGATGGGGGGAAACATACTCATAAAATCCGGACACCCAATCACACAAACCCCCGCCCTCACCCTCCTATCCGCAAACATCAGCTCCCAAACACTATGCCCCCCCAAACTAACCCCCAACCCCAGATGCTGATCCACCCTCTTCTCCCCCCTCGGCCACAAGCACCCCTCCACAACGTCAATCAACAACCCCTGATCCACCACCATCCCCCTTATCCCACCAAACATATCCACCGCATGATTCTCGTTCCCCTCCCTCCAGCTCCCATTCACCCTGTCATCCACCAACCTCGTCCCGTGATTCCTCTGGTCATACGCAATGGCTATCAACCCCCTCCTCTCCGTTTGGGGTGTATTATGGGGGGAATGCGTATTCTGATGATGAGAAAAACTGTTCCAAGCAGCGATACAACGAGAGGCGATATCCCTCATCGACTCCTTATTCCTTGTGCGCTGGTGGTGAAGCCAGAGGATGGAGACGTGGTGCACAGAGGGAGAGAGCTCGGCCAGGCCGTAGATGTCGACTTGGAGGCCGGTGATGGGGCGGGTGGTGACTGAGATGAAGGGGCAGGGCGGCAAGCCGGACGTGTTCTGGTTCCCGGAGTTGTTGGACATCTTCGAGGTTGTTGTCTCACGTGAACTGGATATCGTAGGGATTATGAGATGGGGTGGGAGGGTGTAAAAAAATAAGAAAAATAAAAAGGGGATGTAAGACAGGGGAAGACGCGTGTAACAACTCTCGATTGAATGAGAAAGGGATGTACTAATAATAAGCTTTGGCGGGTTTATGGTTTATGTGAGTTCCTCATCCTGCATGGGATGAACGAACGAACGGTCGGGTCGTCGTCAATGAACAAACTACCTCGGCGCTACGGGTAACGATAAGAATAGCTCCCGATAAGAATGTTATTTCCTACCCCGCGTTTTTCCAACTTCCTACCTACCTTTGTGGGGCCCGACAAACCTGGCCGGGTGGACCCTCCTCTTCCCGCTTGGTTCCCGGGCCGAGTTCAATTCCGCCCCCGAACGACGGATAGGTACATCCCGACAAGGCTGTCGTAGATCGTAAGATCCCATCTTCTTGAACTGACAACACGACCAAAAACGGCCATGCTAATTTTACACTTCTTTCTCGCCCTATTCTCCAAAATGTGTAAAAAAAAAAATAAAAATAAAAAAACTCACCAGCCAGCCTAGAAGTGGCAATATCATCTGATCCAATACACGTATGGCTCTTCTGCCTGTTGGAAAGACACTCGCAAGAAAAGATTTATCAGCCCGTCAGAGTCACACAGGCCATCCGTCAGTCAGTTGCAGTCATCAGCACAAGTCCTCAACATACCTACCTACCTACCTACCTATCTACCTAGCCTTAGCCACCAACCCCTCCATGCCTCAGGCACATCTACATCTCTAGTTCCCCCCTTCCAAAAAAGATCTGCAGTTCCCGTGCCCCTGGAACGGCGCGCGCTGCAGGCAGGCAGCAGGGATCACCATTCACACATCTTCTGCCCAAGAACAGGGGCGTACGTCAACCCGATGATGTGGACGACCCCGTCATTTTTAAAACAAAGCCACCCTACATGAAACAAAAATAACCAGCAACCTGATACGTGCGTATCTTGACAAAGTATTCTCACATCGTGTTTGTACATGAGGCTATCTACCAGTGATTATCGTGTTCCATCTAGCGTCGTCCACGCTTATGGCCAAAGAGCAATCACCACCAACAACTCCGCCTCTTTCAACTGACAGAATACACTACTACATCCTTTTCCTCTTCCATACAGTGAACAATAAGAACAAAGCAGGGTTTGAAGCGCAGTACAGATAAACAGCCCATGACCATAGGTCCATCTGAAAAAACGCCCGTTCTCTCCGTTTAACCCCATGTAAAACCCCGTGTAAAAGTTTCCAGTCTTGTGACCGTTTCTTGCCTATCACTGCCACCCAACCAAACCCAGACGCCCTAAAAGGAACATTGTATAGACCCAGCAGGAAATGCGATGTCGCTCAAGCCATATCGTTACATTAAAAAGAAATAGCAAAAAGAGTAAACGAAAAAAAGAAACAAAAAAATAAAGATGGAAAAAAAAAGACCAAACTCCTCCATATGCAATGCGTTCTCGTTGATGGTCGACCTGTCCGTGACCACAAAGAGATGGGAATCGTAACCGGTAAAAATGCCCAGGCCAAACTCGAACAGCCAAGCTCCTTGATAAAAATAGAGCCGTGAAAAAAAAAAGAAAAAAAAAAGGGAACACAAAAGAATGATGTATGTGCTGTTCCCTCGTCTAAGCAGAATACAGATAATGCTCGTCGCCGTCGATTTGGTTGCCGTATTGATAATCGTCCAGATCAGGGTAGCCGGGCGTGGAGATGCGAGGATCGAGATAAGCTATATTGTCGTCTTCTGTTCCCTAAATCAGTTGTGACGTGGCTGCAACAAGGGAACTCGCTTCCATCGGGACCGCTGCCGCCACCGCCCGCTCGGCTTCGAGTTGGTGGATCCGTGCCAGAAAGTCGGCTGTCTGCTGGTTCTGCATCTGGACCTGCTTCTGCAGCTCCTCCTTCTCCTGCCGCAGCCTCTTGACCTCTTCCCGAAGACGTTCCGTCTCATCGTTCTGGTCGTCACGTTTGCGCTTGGCTGGACCTAGAACGAGCGCTGTTGAGACGTGATCGCTGGCAGCATCATCTGCATCTCCTTCTGGCGACCCTCCATTCTGCGTATGCACACGCCGGAGGTGCTCGTTGAGATTTTCCTGACGAGAGAAGCCTTTGCCGGTGGCACGCTTGCAGTTTTGATGTGGACAGTTGAACGAGTTCTTGGGGCCGCCATGCTTCTGGTGGACTTCGCGCTCATGGCGCAATAGACCACCCGAATAAGTGAAGCCTGGCAGCTTCTCACATCCTGGAGCCAGACATTTATATGGCCGGTCATGCTTGTCCATGTGCTTGCTGCAAGGGGTGTTGGTCAGTGTTTGATCGAGGTGGAGGAGAAAGTTACTGGTTTTGGCGATACAAAAAAAAAAAAAAAGTCACTTACCTCCACTCGCATTTGCGGCTGAAGGTTCTGGTCTCCTCACCACATGACGGATATGTGCAGATGAACTTGCCCTCGTGGTTCTTTGTCTCCTCCCGATGTGGTTTTGGGATGGCCTTGCTTCGCTGAGGAGAAGTCGCAACAGGCGAGTCTTCCTTCACGGCCAGGGTGGGGGCAGGAGCTGGAGGAGCCAGGTCGAGGCTGGGGGTCTCCTCAGTCGAGACCGTCACGTCGACGAAGTTCTTGGCATCAACAAAGGGAGCGGCTTGCTCAGCAAAACTGGCCACGTGAGCGAGCTCGTTCACCACAGCATCGTGAGTCTCAGCGAAGCGGTCGACTTCGGCAGCAGCAGCAGCATCGTGGTGCTCGTGGTGCTCGTGGTGCTCGTGGTGGTGCTCATCCATGGGCGGATAGTCGCTCTCATGCATGAAGTTGCGGGCCTCATATACCACGCTCATCTTGAATATGGGCGAGTTCGAAAGGCAAAGGTGGTGAGATAAACGGTGGGAGCAAGAGTCGAACAGGTAAAAAGATAAAAGTCGTTCGATGTCTAGGTAAGGATGGCCGCTCTCGAGCAGATAAGTAACTGATATGAAGCTACAGCTTCAACGACTTTGTTTGGACCTGAGCAAAAGTGAGAGGTGAGGTGGTGTGCGGCAGTGATGTGGCGTGCAACAGAGGCGGGGTTATCGGTCCACACGTATTGGGGCTCGACGCGTAATAAGGATATGGCCTCGGTCTTGGTGGTGAAGAGAGGTGGGATGTTGTCGTCGCGGGGTGTTCCTGATCTAGAAGGAAAGCGATGTGTTAATGATTGAGGCCTGAGATGTCAGGAGAAAATTCGTCGAAGCCCAGTCGAGCTCAGGCAGAATAATGCTTGGCAAAAGGCACAGCCTGTCCCTTGCACCAGCGGGGCCACTTGGGTCGGTTTCAAAGCGGAGCAGCCGGGACAACCAAGTGCCGGCGGAAGGGTACGTACTCTTGTGCAGTAATCAGCACGTGATCTAATCGTAGGCCCAAAGAGGCCGCCTACGCCTCGACGTCGGTTGACCTCTGGCGGATCAAACAGCTCTGAGATGCTCTCTCTCACGATTTAACAAGGTCCAGATGGAAATGCAAATTCAAGACTGCGCCTTTACAATTTGAACCTTTGGAAATACCGACCTTCACAGCCATGCGGGAAGAGGAGATGCCACCCTATTAGTATTTTTTGACACCCTCTTGTCGACGCAAGTTCTCAACTTCAAACGGATGCCACCCTGGTCACTCAACATGAGGCAGCCATGGCCACCCCATGAGTCACTCGCACATCAACACCTTCACAGGTCCCTGTTCTAATGTACATGGACTAGGTGACTGGCGGCTGCAGCCTTGCTCTACTTGTCCACGGCTGCAAAAGATGGCTTCCGACTAGGAACCGGTGGCGATCATCCGCTTGCTCTCCAGGCACTGGGCCCTCGCGCTGCAAGCTCGAGATGGGGCAACTTTGACTGGCCGGCAGTGCTCCTAATCCTCGTCAGCCTCTTCCGGATACCGGTTGTGACTTCGAGCGATATGCGGCTGGATCAGAGGCCAGGCAGCCAAGGCAGTCTACAGCAGGGCGACTGATAAGACGAAACAAAGATGTCCTCGTCCTCACATTTTGAGACGCCGCACAGTTGAGCAATAGCACCACCGTTTTCATTGTTCAAGGACGGCCTCCCGCAATTTCCCAGCTGTGAAGTACTGAACATCAGTTCAGCTTCACCTGGTCACCATCCTAGGTGTCCTCAACATGGAGTGTCAAGACTATGGATTGCGTCAGGCCTCTCAGGCACCTGTCACACGACTTGTGAGCCCAACTTTCCACGCATGGCATGGCATCGGAAGTGTGATTTAGAGTTTGGGCTGTGAAGCTCGCGGAAATCCCGGACAGTCTCAGTCACCGAGGGCCTCGTTTCAGAGCGACGCGAATTCCAACTGGTTACCGAAGAATCCTTAGGCCATGTGTTGGTGCTTATGGCATTCTGAGATCCTTCTGGAAAACAGCACAGCCATGATATCCTCGATATGTGACATTTCCAACCATTTACGATGAGTGCTGTGGGGCTCGGTGGTGCCAACTTGGAGCCTCACCGCGCCCAACGATGGTGTTGGATATGCTTATCACAACGTCCAACTCGACGCTCCGGTATGCCCCTTCAGACTCGGTTCAATATTGGGTGCACTGCCGGTCACAGTAATGCCATTTCGAGGAAAATCGGCGTCGACTTTTGGCGCCGAGTGACTCAGCCCTACCCAACCATCGTCACACACCGGCAGTTTTGGAGAGCTCGAGGGGGTTGGTGATGGAAGGTTTCGGACTGGTTGCCTTCACACCGCACAGTCCGCATGCTGAGCGAGAGAACGGAAGGTAGGTGAACGAAACAAGTCTTATCCTGCAAGGCGCATGCTTCCCCGGGCCCATCGTGGGCCTGGTCGCCTCGGGGTCAGTCTTACCTTACCTTACCCACGTCTGCCTGTCAAGGTGGGACTGAGTAAACAGCTCTACAGTCGTCATACCAGTCGTCACAGTGCCCACCAATGTGTACAGCACACCACTATCACGCTAGGTAACCCTCTCCGTGCTCTGCAGTGTCATCCGTCGTTGCTGTTGTCGTCTGCAGGACGTCGTCTACAGGAGCTGTTGAGTTCTCTAGGCAAGCGGTCCATCAGTCAGGTTCCCAGCCCCCCTTCATCAAGGCGAAGCTCTCACTGCGGACACTGTGCAGAGAGGTTGGAAGGTTGAAAACACCCGACCTGTGGAACCATGGAATATTCCCCGGTTGCCCAACATCACACCAAGACGATTCTTACAGGGCCGAAGGTGACACGAAATACAGGATAATTTGCCTTACTGCGGGGAGTCACTGTCCTTTAACTATTCTAACCTGATGAAACGCCGAAGTCAGGTATACAGCTCGCCTTGCCTTATCATGAGGCTCATGTTCATCTATTCACACCCGTGGCAAGGTAAGCATGGCGCCTTGCAATAAGGCGCGAGGCGTTCAACTCTTTCCAGAAAGATGTCGACCTAAAATAGATGTCGAGGAGATGACTAGACCTCTTGCGCAACCGGTGGTGGTTGTTTTGCCCACTATATGTATGTATGTCTAAGGCTCAAGGCTGTACATGTCAGGCAGTCCCACCGAGCAGACAACGAATGAAATTTTGTATCTCGGGCCAAGCCTTTTGTCTCATGCATGCACTGCTGTAGCCTCCCCCACGGGGTAAGAATGACTGTTTAGGATGCTGACAAAAAGTCATCGGCCGGCTTACGGAGACGGGGGAACGGACGGATGTGGTCGTTTCGATACCGGCCCGATCCCGGGGGGTGGTTGGCCAAGCCTTCGAGAAGGGTTGATACACGTCAGAGTGGGTTGATGAGTAAGGCTAGGTGAGATTGTGCTGGGGAGTCGGTGGTGTAAGGGCTTTTTTTTTTTTGGGGGGGGGGGGGGAAGGAGAGGGTCACGATGGCAGGCTTACGGCAGGTTATGTTCGTGGTAGTCTGCGGGTTTGGCTTGGTTGTCATGTCTACCATGGTTGGCAGTCATGTAGGATCGGATCATATCATGGGGTTGAGGCTTTGGGATTGGCCGTGAGGATATGGTGTTTAGTTAGGTACTTGTGTCTTCCCCGCTTGTGGTACTGAAGATGTGGTGAGATGCGGGGAAGGTTAGATAGGAGTGGTGATATTCTCCGATTGTATATCTTGTACAAACATCCAATGGTAGAAGTTTCACAAGACTTTCTGAACATTGTCTATCCTCTGCGCTGCCTAAATTATGCACCTGGATACTAACCTGGACTTGTTGTGAGAGAACCAAACACCAATCCAACATGGCGGACGTGGTCAAGCTCCCTGAACCCTTTGCTTCCAGTACGTAAAACTCTCACCTCTTCATCACATTTTCTTCCCACTCCCCCACAACGCTCACCCATTCGTCTGTTCACCCCCATTAACTCGGCTTTTTTTTTCTTTCCTCCTCCAAGTCCCCCGAACCCCCCTCACCCTCGGCCCCTCCCCAATCCACCCCCTCCCCCGCCTCTCCTCCCATCTCGGGGGCAAAGTAAACATATACGCCAAACGCGAAGACCTCAACTCTGCCCTCGCCTTTGGCGGGAACAAGACCCGCAAACTGGAGTACCTCCTCCCCGAAGCCCTCTCCCAAGGCTGCGACACCCTCATCTCCATCGGCGGCATCCAATCCAACCACACCCGCCAAGTCACCGCCGCCGCCGCCTCCCTCGGCTTGAACGTCTCCCTCATCCAAGAAGACTGGGTCCCCGGATGGGAAGATGCGTCGTATGAAAAAGTCGGGAATATACAACTGTCCCGTCTGATGGGCGCAGATGTCCACGTGATAAAAACAGAGAATTTCGGGATTGGGCACAAGGAGAGCCTGAAAAAATTGAGGAGGAGGCTGGAGGGGGAGGGGAGGAGGGTGTACTACATCCCGGCGGGGGCGTCTGACCACCCCCTGGGGGGGTTAGGTTTTGCGAGGTGGGTTTGGGAGCTGGAACAGCAGGAAAGGGAGATGGGGGTGTGGTTTGGGACGTTGGTGGTTTGTGCTGTGACTGGGAGTACACTGGCGGGGGTGATTGCGGGGGTTAAGCATCAGGAGTTGAAAGGGGGAGGGAGAAAGAGGAGGGTGGTTGGGATTGATGCGAGTGCTAGGCCTAAGGAGACGTTTGAGCAGGTGTTGCGGATAGCGAGGCAGACGGGGGTGAAACTGGGGCTGGAGGAGGGGGATATTAACGAGGGGGATGTGACACTGGATGAGAGGTTTCATGGGGGGGTTTATGGTGTTCCGGACGGGAAGACGGTGGAGGCGATCAAGCTTGGGGCCGGGCTGGAGGGGTTTATCACTGATCCTGTTTATGAGGGGAAGAGTTTGGCGGGTTTGGTTGGGATGGTGAAGGGGGGGGAGATACGAGAGGGGGAGAATGTGTTGTTTGCGCATTTGGGGGGTCAGGTTGCGTTGAGTGCTTATGGGGATATGGTTTAGGGGGAGTGCCGTAGAATGGAATGAGATGGGACAGAGAAGACTTGAGGTTTGAAGCAAGACCGGGGTTTCACATGCTTTGTGATTCTCATGAAATTGAGCGTTTGCGTGAAGCTGGGAGATAGTCAAAGATATATATATGTGCCCGAAAGCTGAAGCTGTCGTGTCACCACCTCCTCGCTCAAGAATGATATTATGCCCAGACAAAGCCAATCCGCGGCCAGCTGCGGCCCTCACACCATGGAAAATGATATTCGGCTGTCACTTCCCCGTCCAGAGGCTGAAGAGCAACCCCCCACACTCCCACCTCTCCCACTTGCTGTGTCTTTGGTTGGATTTTCCTGCGGCTTGACTTACATAACCGAATGGCAACTTCCGCGGGTGTGATGGGAAACTTTTGGCCTGGAACAAGCCTGATGTGGTCCAAAGCCCTGGAACTGTGGATTTTCATCTGATGGTCCAGACTCTAGTTCGCTGTGGCTTCGGAGACGACGTGGAGTGATTGGACTCAACAAGTCGAAAAAGGTTGTCAGGGTTATTCTCGGCCCCGGCTTCTTGGGATGTCGGCCCGCTTTTTTTATCACGCACACCTGCACCCATAAGTTCGGGACCATCTCGACTTTTTTTTTTTCTGATTCCCTTCTGACTCTTTTGTTTTCGTCTCTTGTCCAATATTTCTCCTTTTGACTCTTGTCGTCCTGATATCGTCACAGGAAACGACAAAGACATTCAATACCACCACCACCACTAACACCACCACCGCCACCAACACCACCCCCATCAAACCCCTCCAACCCCCACCATCACCATCTGCTCAACCAAACCACCCATGACATCCCACGATCCAGACCCGCCTTCTCCCCCCGCCGACCTCAAGGCTGGTTTGGGCGGCACAGGTCACATCAACATCGCCTCTCCTGCTCAAGAACCCATCCAAGACTACCCCATTGAGCGGGTAGAGCAGGTGTACCGGTACGTCTTCCCCTTCTGCCCATCGCTACCTCTCCTCGCTGACCTCCTTCTTCCCCAGCAAACTCGACCTCCGCATCATCCCCGCCTTCTGGGTCCTCTACTTCCTCAACTCCGCCATCCGCTCCAACATCGGCATAGCCCAAACAATGAACGCCTCCGTCAAGCACGACCTCGTCTCGGTCCTCGGGCTCACCCCCAAAGACGTCTCCACCGCCCTGGCACTCTTTTATGTCTCCTACGTGCTGTTTGACCTCCCCTCCAATCTCATCATGAGCCGTCTCTCCCCTCGGGTCTGGATGGCGCGTATTGTCATTGCTGTCGGTATCATCGGGACGTGCTTCACAGCTGTGAACGACGCCTGGTCTCTCAAGCTGTTGAGATTTCTGCTGGGCGTGGTGATTGCGGGCATGTGGCCTGGTATGGCGTATTATCTCACCTTGTTCTACCCACCGAGCAGAACAGGCAAGAGGATCGGGATGTATTTCACCGCTGCGCAGGTTTCTGCCGCGGTGGTTGGGTTGGTGTCGGCGGGGTTCCAGCAGATGGATGGGTTGGGGGGGTTGGTGGGTTTTAGGTGGATGTTTTTGATTTATGGGTTGTTGGGGGTGATTTTGGGGGTTGGGTTGCTGTGGTGGTTGCCTGACCGGCCTTTGGCTCCGGGGGAGGTGAGGGAGAAGAGTTGGTGGGTGAAGTGGTTGCCGCCGAGTCCGGAGGCGCTGACGGGGGAGGATGCGATGGTGCATTATCATGATTTGAGGAGGGTGTATCACGCCAGGCCGTGGACGCTGAAGGATCTGTGGTTTGTGTTGTTGGACTGGCGGTTGTGGCCGTTGGTGTTGATGTACTTTGGGGTTGTTGGGGTGGGTATTGGGACGCAGTTGTACGGGAGCGTGATTATTGCTTCGATCAACTCGAACTTTACGGGGGTGCAGGTTAGCTTGTTGTTTGCGCCTATTTGGATTGTAGGTTTCTTTGTTTTCTTTTTTTTTGTTTTTTTTTTGTTTTTTTTTTTGTTTTTTTGTTTTGTTTTTTTTTTTTTGTTTTTCTTTTGGAAGAGACGAGATTGAGAAACGTCGTACTAACACAGGCACAGATGGACTTGATCGCTATTCTCCTCGTCACCCCTATTTCGGATCGGTTCCACAAGTACCGCCCCCTTTTCTTCTCGGCGGCCGTTTGTGTTCAGATCGCCGGCCTGCTCACTGTCACCTTTGCTTTGGACAACCAATGGGGCAGATACGGCGGTTTGTTGCTCATCGGATTTGGCCTCGGTCCCACGGTTCCCATTTGCATGGCCTGGACCAACGAGATCTTCCAGAAGCGTCACCGCGAAGTTGGTGTTGCTACTGCTTCCGCCTTGGTATCTGGCCTGGGCAACCTTGGAAGCATTGTCACGACATACGCCTTGTACACTGGCTGGCCCGAGGACGCGGCCCCGGGACGGTACCGCTACCGCAACAGCAACTTTGTCATGATTGGTATTCTCTGCATGAGTATCGCCAGCAGCTTCGTCATGATTGCTCTGCTCAAGGTCTTTGGCAATGAGCCCAGCAACAAGATTGTTGGTAGTGACGGCAACGACTCTGGAGAGGAGATTTTGGATGGTGCTGCTCGTCGTGAGGTGCACCAGCGCGGTTTCAGCCGCTTGATCAAATAATTTGATCGGCAAAATCTGGGGACGAGATGAGCTCGCGGTTCTGTTGTCATCGCTGAGTTTTATGAAGACGAAGACAACATCTACTTCACCACACTCTTTTACGATAACTTTTCGGAATGCTTTCACATATGACCCCTCTGGTCATCAACAGCTTCTATTCTTCCCAAGAGGGTAGAACAGCTTCCCCACACCATCGGAAACGAAAATGCTTTTTACGCTATCGTTTCTCGAAGGTTGGGTAAGCCCAGAAAGGGAGCCCTCGACACGGCAGTCCAAGTCAGAGAAGAAGACAATGCTCTGTACGCTATCTCCTTCTCAGACGAAGATTGCCAACGTCGGAGGGATCTGTTTCTGTCTCTTTTTTTTTCTGCTTTTGGTCTTGGTGTTTGGGTTGGGCTGGGCTGGTTTGGCTTTTATGATACCCCATCTGTGTTGAAGATACGCGCTGCAATATTGACGAAGAAAATTATGAAGTTATTCGGGACTATTACGAAGAAGAGTTTTCTTCGCCGGCGAAAGTGCTTTTACGCCATCGCTTGGACGGCGTGTCGAATGACCGAGGTGTTGCTAGATGACGACAATGCTTTTTACGCTATCGTTGGTCGGCCTCGTGGGAGTTTTTCTGGATATTATGAGGATAGGATAGGCGGGGGAGGGCTGGTCGCTCGTTTTTTTTTAAGAGGGGGGGGGAGGGTGAAGAGAGAGAAAGAAAATTGAGTCTGTTCCCCTGTCTACTTTGAGTGTTGTTGATGGTGCGTTGCTGTGTGATTGTGTGACTGAATTAAATTCCCGTTCACTGACTGCTTCTTTTGCTGTTGGCGTCGAAGGTTGGGAAGTCGCAGGACGAAAAGCCGGAGAAAAGTAGGGAGTTCAAGGCAGCAAGTCAAGTGCGAGTAAGCAGGTGATGAAAGGAAAGAAAGTAGAAGGGTGGGTAGGTAGTCGAAGCCCGGGATGTCGAAAAAAATAGTCCCTTTGTCACCCTCTTTGCTGTCCTTGATGGATTGGTTCTCCTAAATAGGAGAGAGCCAGTGGACTGAAAAGATCAAAAGCTCACCGGCCAACTCTTAGAGGTGGCCGGCTACGAAACCCTCGTAGGGTTTACTTCGTCGATTGGGGGGTGGGCTGTTGTTGGTTGATTTGGGGAGGTCGGTCGATATCCTTGAAGGCCATCTCGAAAGACAGGGCCGCGTTGAGGAGGCGAACTTAGGTGTCCACGGAGCCTTGTTTTCAAGGGGCATTGGTTCGTTGCCTGATCCGGGCCGCCTACGACTTACACCGTTGAGCTAATCTGACCATTCCAGTTACTAGATTTGTTGCGTAGGCGGTTGTTGGAAGACGGTTGCGGGGAGGGGTATATACACCGTGGTTGAGGAGGATGTTGACTTGGTGGTTGTTTACTTGTGCAAGTTGATCCCATTACTACGACCGCAATACTGGCAATCATTCCAGCAGTACAGTGCTCTCAAGTTAAAGCAAGTCCCTCATCTCGCATCTTGGTCTCGCAGTTCCGTAGATTCTTGTTGTATTTGTCGAACTTACACATCAACGATTTCATCCTGGATTGTCCCATCACAGGACCTTCTTCGACACTAAAGGATCAACCTCGAAGGCGACACGTCCATCTTCTTTACATAACCACAGCTAGCCCTTCTCCAGCATTCGGGCATTAACGCGTCAGAACTGAAGCCGTCACCATCATCTGCACTTACTCGCCGTCTCTACTCGTCGTCCCACTCACACTCACCACAAGCCACCACCGCGCACACACCTTTCACAAGTCAGAACCGTCACTTCAGCAATTCATTTCTCATTTTACCATCCCTCTCCTTCCCTCATCACCACCCTCCCGTTTTTATTCACCCCCAAATCTAAAAATGCTTCAACCTCTCCGCAAAAAACTCCATCAGCGGCAAAACCTCCTCCCGACTCCTCGGCATCCCATCATCCCTCCTCCCCTTCCACCTCACAACCCTCAGATCCTCAAACTCTTCCTTCAGCTTTTCCTCGGCATCATCATCAATAACCTCCCCCCCCTCCCCACAGAGCACCAACGTCGGGGTGGTTACCTTCCCCCTTCCACCAACAGTAGGAATTATGCTCACGGGCAGCGCCCCTCCCACACTCACAATCCCCTTTAATTCCCTCTTTTCCCCCTCCCCATCCCCCTCACTCACATCCACCACCCTCTTTTCCTGCCCCCTCCGCAGCTCGCTCCCCAGCCCCAACGCCACCGAACCCCCCTGACCATACCCAAAAAGAATCACATCCCCCCACCCCCACCCCAGTCTCCCCACAATCACCCCCCCTATCAGTTCCCATAACGCCTCCCTCGCCTTTTGGAATCCAGGGTCCTGATCCAGCTCCCCTGTTCTCTGATTTAAAAGGAGATCATCACCCCAGTGCCAACAGCCATTTTCCGGCACCGGTTCCGGTACCAGACCCTGCGGGAGGGGGTTCACACCTTTAACCGTAACCGCGTACGTTCCCGGAAGATTCAACGACTTGGGGAAATTACAAAAAGACACTGGGTTGTTGCCTAGACCGTGGAGGACGATGAGAAAAAGTGGTTGTTGACTCTGGGGGTGAGGGGGGGTGGAGCTGGATGAGGGGGAATTGGGAAAAGTTTGAGGGGGAGGGGATGCGGGGTGGCATTTTTTTTTTGATTTGATGGATTGAAATGGTCGTGGTGGATGGGTTGAATAGGGTAGATGGGGGTTGTATAGGTAAGTAACTTGTGAGAGGCGAGGTAGGTGAGAAGAGGTGAGGTCAGAAGGCGGGCTTGACAAGACCGGAAAGGTGGGGTTTCGGCCGGGAGCAAAAAGCGACGACGTCTGTCTGGCGGAATAAAAAAAAAAAAAAAAAAAAAAAAAAAGGCGGATAAAAAGAGAAATGGGATGTGAGAGACAAGAGGTGGTAAAAAGGGCATCAATAGCAAAAATACAAGGCCTTGATTTCGTCCAGGCTCGAACTGGAGACCTTCAGTGTGTTAGACTGACGTGATAACCAACTACACCACGAAACCTTTGATTGGTTGTTGCTCGAGCGCAGAATTAGAGATTCTGTGGGGACGAGAAGGTGGTCTCCACCAGGGGAAACAGAAAACCATCTCCCGATATACACGACAAGAAAGGCGCATCGCCCTGATATTCTCCTATCAATACTAACCATAACCATGCTTCTTTATTAACCCCCCTCAAAGCTGTATCTACCACCT